CTCACAATCAATCAATCAATCAATCAATCAATCAATCAATCAAACCTTTTTTTTTTTCAAGTTTTTTGTTTATTTATTTTTAAATTTTGTATCTTTATTTTTCTAAAACACCTCCTACCCCTGCAAAAAACAGAAATTCATTTCCAAAAAATACTGGTGACCTCAGGGACCATATATCTGATGATAAAAAATGACCAAAAAAAAATCCAACTTTTCTTTATATATATATTTTAATTTTGTTAAAATCGAATTTAGTTTTTGATTTTTTTTAAATCCGTCGGATTCCAAAAAATATATATATGGGGTTGTAGGGCTTAAAATTTCCTACAACCCCTTTTTTTTTTTTTTTTTTAAAGCCTATTATTTAATTCAGGAAAACTCTGGTAAAATCGGGTCCGCGGCGCGGATTAGGTAGTCCGCGGATGCGGACCTGTCTGCGTTCGCCATCCGAGATTGGACCCGCGGACGCATCCGCGGGTGTTACATGACTTGGAGGATTGCGGCCGGATTTGAGAAAGGTCGTGGCGGTGAAAGATGCCCTTTTTCCCACATCATTGACGCACGTTCGAACTTTTCTGAGACTGGCATTATACTATCGTCGATTCATCAAGGGCTTTGCCACGATTGCGCGACCCTTAACAAACTTGTTACGAAAGGACCAGCCTCTCGGTTGGGACGCCGAGTGCGAACAAGCCTTCGCCACTCTTAAAGACTCCTTGGCTACAGCGCCTATTTTGATCCGATCGGACCCTACAAAGCAGTTCATTCTCATTACGAACTCGCAACCGGAGGCGATTTCTACTATTCTAGCGTAGAAGGGGAACGACGGTTGTGAACACGTCATCGAGTATGCATCTTGTACGGTGCCAGATGAACGAAGGAACGATTCGGCCCCGCAAGGCGAATGCTACGCGGAGGTCTAGGGAATCTAGCACTTCCATCCGTATCTCTACGGACAGAGGTTTTTTCTTGTGACTGATCACGAGCCACTGCTGGCTCTCAAGAAACTCACCAATTACACGGGCATGATTGGGCATTGGGCAGTGCGCCTACAAGAGTACGATTTCGACATCATCCACCGGAAGACGGAGAGACACGGGAACGTGGACGTATTGACACGACTACATCGACCGGCATAAGTACTATAAGGCGAGGAAATTATCCTGTGGAAGGAACCGAAACCAGTCAGCGGACCCAGATACGGACAAGTGGCAGTCCTAACGCGTGACAAGAAGCAGGCACGTGGCAATGGGTGACGAAGGTAATCTTGCAACGCCTCTCTCTCCTCTCTCGTCTTCATCCCTTCTCTCTCTACCCGACAAATTTTGTTGTTTTTGTGAAGCAATCTTGCGCGTTTACTCTGTCCCTATGCATCCTAGTGGGGAGGGATATGTCGAGTGGGTAGATTGTGGGCAGTGTGTCGCAAGAGCCCATGGCTCTTGCATTCAGTAAATAAATGGTGATAAGCCTTGGTTGTGCCCCCTGTGTCGGACCGATAAGATCCTGACCGAGGTTCGATTTCTTGACGCCACGTCAGAAGGGTTAGAAAAGACTCAAGGTTTAGAAGGGCTGAGGTTTGAATCGACGTCGCTCTGATAGCGACCGTAGTAGGGAACCCCCTCCAGGACTTTACTAGGGAGGAGCGGAGGAGGGCCAATGAAAGGGCCCGGGATTATCAATGGAATAAGGGTCGTTTAGAGAAACGGAAGACGGGCGGTAGTGAGATTTGGATGATAGTGTCGCACCCGTTCATGAGGTATGACTGGGTTAAGTCGGCGCATGAAGAGACTGCAGCCCATTTTTCTGTCCGAATCACGGAAGCGGCAATCGACAAAAATGAGTGGTATTGGTCCAATATTCACGACGATGTGAAATTCATAGTCCGAAACTGTCAGTTCTGCGCGGCCGACAAGGCGCCGATTAAGCCGCCGAGATCGATAGTGCCGACCATAGTTGAACGACCTTTCCAGAGAGTTAGCATGGATACTACCGATATCGTGGTGCCCCTTGGACCAAATAGTTGTGAGTATTCAATCTTATTGGTATTTGTAGATCACTTCTGGAAATGGATCGAGGCGCATCCGTGTCGTACACGACAGGCGGCTGAAATCGCGCGGTATGTCAACCGTTTTCTCGGAATGCATCAGGATACAAAGGAGATCCTGACCGATAACGGGGCGGAATTTAGAGGGGAAGTTTTGAGGAACCTGGTCATACATGGGGTCGCCATCCATAACACCGCACCCCACATGTCCCAGTCTAACGGGCTGGTAGAAAACACGAATCGGGTAATTAAGACTGCGCTGCGACAAAACATCGCGGCACGGGATCCGAGGCCCTGGCCCGATATCGTGGCCCACATCCTGGCGATCCATCGAGGAATGCCTCACGAATCAACGGGTCTTACCCCCTTCCAATTACGGACCAATAGCGTGGCTTGCATTTCAGTACCAAGCCTCCCCGACGAATCTACGCTGGGCCGACGACCTACGAGGGCCACGGTTCGGGACAAGGCCAAGCGACACTTAGAACTGATGGAACGGTCCCTCCCCAGGTTAGCCCGAAAACGCCAGCAAATGACTGAGTTGGCCCACGGACGACAGGTCCGCAGTTACGAGGCCCGAAATGGGAACTCGGGTCCGCGGCCCCAGTACAAATTAGGGGACATGGTGCAGGTGAGGAAATGTGCTCGTCAGGGGAAGATAGCGCCACAATTCTTCGGGCGATTCCGTGTGATCGAGCTTGGCCCAAACGGAGTGAGCACGGTGTGACTATCGCCCGAAGTCTCAGGCAGTCGATCAGCCCGCCCGATCATCCGCCATGTGTCCTACCTCCGCCATCTCTCAACTTCTTCTCCCCCTTCCCCAGCTGGGTCGATCTCGGAGTCAGAGTGGGAGAGTGACAGTCCCCATTCCCTTTCTTCTCCCCACTCACCTTCTTCCTCCTCGTCGCCATGAGTTTTTCTACGGAACAGGTTCTCAATGAATGTATGATGACGCCGCGAGGAAACATTTCGACGATCTAGCAAGTCCATCATCCGCGCATCAGCCCCGACGTTCTTCGGTTCGCGCAGTTCTTCAGCACTGCAGATGTACGCACGGCGATGGAGTTCCGCTTTGTAGTCCCCAACAACAGGGCGCAGGTGTTAGCCGAGGCATCGGCCTATCGGCAGCTTTCAACGCCAGGAACCTGCCACGTGTCGACGGTGGTCTTCTTCAGCAGGGACATCAGCGTGGCGGACTCCACGACGCATACGGCCATCCTGGTGTCACTGAGGGAGTTGGGGGAAGAGTTGGCAAGGGCGTGGAGCCGATTGTTTGCGCGACGCGGGGAAAACGTCATCAATACTGATAGTGTTGACGTCGGCAGCATCCGCACCCGCCCGCACGAGCCGGAAGTTGTCCTCCCCGCACTTGTTCCCTTCTTGCGCCCCCAATGAACCGCTCTCACTTCTCCACCTTCCGTCTCCCCTCTGTCTTTCCCACCTTCTGGCAGTCATCCATCCATCCCCGCCTCTCCTTCGGCATACGGCCGCTTTCTATGCCACTCGCCAAGCCGCTGCAGTGAGAAATTTGGTGTGAACATTACTTTGCCATCTAGCTGTGCCTGGTGGAGGTAAATCTGACGTGGACTCGAGATAGTGAGCACCGTGTTGGAAGGGAGGGTGTAGAACTGCTGGTCATCCAAGCTTGGAGAAAGGAGGTGGAGGGAGATCTTCTTGGGTTTGTCTTCGGAGCAGTGGAGCCAGGCCATTGGCAAACGATCGTGTGGGAGCTCTTGGTCCCCTTTGCGCAGCTGTTGGATGACCTTCCCCTCGACATCGTGTCACATTGCGACGAAAGTCCGGTGCTGCACGTTCTTTCACGAAGATTAACGCCGTATTTGCAGCGGTCAGCCTGCTTGGAGGATCGAACGGGAGGTGGTAGCTACCCATCGCGCGCGGAGTATCTGAACCCCCGGGGGATCATCGACGTCCTCTTCTTTCAGCCTCGAACAGCGGTGGAGGAGGAAGAAGTGGCGGAGGAAGTGGAGGTGGAAGACGAAAGCGAGGAAGAAACCTCTGAGGAAGAAGGAAGCTACAGTGAGTACAGCAAGGAAGAGCCGGGGGCGGAGAGTGAAGAAGAAGAAGAAGAAGAAGAAGAAGAAGAAGAAGAAGAGGAAGAAGAGGAGTCCGAGTGGGAAAGTTTGGGAGGAGAGGCGGACCAGGCGGAAGTCCGAGAAGAGGATCCTGCAGCAGCCGCGCGAAGGAGGGAAGAGATAGCGCCAGGAAAGAGGCCGTTAGAGCATTCCAGCGGCACTGATTTGCCAATCCCAGACGACCCGACCAGAGATCCCGAGCCGCCTGCAATTGAGGATGAGGTCCCTCCTGCGGAGACCTCAAGCACATTGGCTCTGAGGCGACAAAGGCGATCCCCCTCCCCTTCCCCCCGTCCCTCAGTTCGAACACGTGGCGATGCAGGGCATTGGGCTACGTCCCCAGTCATTATCCCGTCGTCCCCTTGATTTTCTAACCCTCCGGCAAATCAACACCGGGATCTCCTTCCCTCGCAACCCTTTCCCGCCTTCCACCTTCCGCCACTTCTACGCCACTCGCCTCGCTGTCACGGTTTATCCGCATTCTACCACGAGATGCATCGTCTCCTCTTTCTCCCTCCACGTTCTTCTCTTCAGTGCTGCATGGCGGGGACACAACATGGTCGAAGTCTACTGCATGATCACGGGGACTATCCCCGCATGCGCGGACTATGATCAGTTCCGCACGGCCCTGCTCCGCACCTTCCCAACCCTTTATCCCGACTCTCTCACTTCTCTCCCCCATAGCGGCAGCCGATTCCCCCGCATACATCGCATCGTCAGATATCAAGAGCTGCCAGAGACGGTGCCAGGGATGGGGATGTTCTTACCTCCACTCCCAAGTAATCCTCCTCCTCGCCATCCCCCCATGTATCGACTCCCTTATCCCCTTCCTGCGGGTTACTAAGCGCACCATCGGATTTGATGACGTGTCGATTTCCCCCACTTATATCCTGCAATAACAACACGTGTAAATTGGCATGATCCCTCACCACCTCCTCCGGTTGTGATCAAATTGCCCTCCCTGGGGAACTTGTGGGACAGAGCCTGCGTAAGCCACGTTGGATGACTTCCACACTCTTATCGAACAATAAGTGGCACGTAGAGAGCTCCGCGTCGTCGATCGATTAGAGAGGTCGGCACGTGTCGTAACATCGAGCAAGCAGGAGCTTGCTCAAGATTGGAACCCTCTGGGCGTCACATATGTGACGAACCATTTTTCCGCACCGCGCGACTTTCTGCGCGATGACGATGAGGGGTCCTAAGATGGGAAGGCTGGGCAAAGTACGGGAGGTGGGATTGACGGGTAAATTTCGACGGTGTCCTCGCTTCTTTCTTTTTCTTCACGTCGCTCCTTTCCCTTCAGCGGCGATGGGACAAGCCCAGGATGGACGGTTGAGTAGCGCGTCGCCGCAGGCACGATTAATAATGGTTGACATAGCTTCTTTTTGTTGTTGGGTTTTCGGCGCGATTATCGCGCGGGAGTTTTTGCTTCTTTTTAAAATTTCTTTTCAAATATTGTCGAGCCTTCGACGACTCTCGGAATTTCGGATTTTCTTTTCGGAATTTGTGCTTTATTGAAGTTCTTTTTGCATTTTTGGATTAGATAGGAATTTAGGAAGTCGAAATTTCTTTTGCAGCGCGATGCTCTTTACTTACGCGCTTCTTTTTGCGGCTGCAACGGAGCTCTGATTAGTCGGTGCCCTTAATCTTGTGTGCAACTGTAATTTTTGGGTGGGCGCCATTGTAACTGTATCTTTCTTCTTGAGCTTTGTCTTTCCCGCCCACTCTTTTCCTTCTGTTGTGTCTAGTTAGCCCGCGGGCTGCATGATCGGATTGATGTGTGGAGAGTGGCTACGTCCCCCACGCCACGATCTGGCCATGCAGGAACGTAGGCGCTCCCTTCCCTTCTCTCCTTCTAAGTCCTTGCAATTTCATGTTCTTCACGCATGCATGTACGCTATAAATTTCGGCAGCGCGATTAGTTAGCTCTCTTAAAAAAAAGTTGTTGGAAGTTCGGGGTAGCGTGATCAGTGAGGGTCGGCTCACGAGCGAAGTAAGAGGTGAGTTGACGTGGAAGTTGGGCGACCCAACGGGCTGGTGCCGAATATGCGGGGTTGACGCGTAGGCTACGACGGACTGTAGCGCGTGGGCGAACCTGACGGGCACGTGAGGACTAAGCGGGGTGACAACTTCGTGGGTTGGTGCGTGACGTCGGTCTGTCCACATCGGAAAGAAAGAGAGAGGGAGAGCGGGTATGGACGGATATGGGATTGTAATTTTCTTTGTCTTTTTCAGTCTTGTATATAAGTTTTGATTTCAGCTTCGGGCGATCCGCCCTTATTTTTCCTTAGACATCTTTGTCGCGACTATGGCCTTTGTCTGGCGCTTTACTTAGTTTGGATCCTTCCTCCTTTCCTTTGATGTACTTGATTGGATGGGTTCTGTGTATGCGGGATGGTTGAGTGATACGCTCGTCATCCTTTTTGCTTGACAACGGTCCATCGTCACTTGATCTGTTCCGGTCGCGACGAATGGCTGATAAAAGAAGTTGATGCGGCCGCGGTGTCTGACGTATGCGTGAACAATGATGTGATGTCACTTTGCGTGATCAAGAAATGTTTTGTTGTCTGCGGGATTACCGAATGATTCAATTGCTGAGTGGTTATCTCCGCCACATGGCGATTTTGCATACTATGGGACTTGGACCTCACTTTTGCACAAGAGTCGGGCGACGGATATGCGTACGATCGAACCCCTCGTATGCGCACGTCTAAGCGCGATCCAATAAACACAGCCTACACGTATCCACACGAGGTCGGTCCGCGATCACTGGATGGATTTGACACTTTCAGTATCGGGATGGGTACGGAGATTCCCCTTTGCGAGAACTTGAGCCAGTGGGGATTTCCACGACCGTACGCAGAATTCCCTTTTCAGTTGGAGAACGATCGGGTGTATGCGGAGGACTTCTACTGCGCCACTACTAGCGATCCACGGGGTCCTGACTACCCGGAGGCCCGTCACACGCATTATTTCATCTCCCCCGGCTTTGTTGTCGTCTCCACTAACTTCCCTCCCTTCCGACTCCTTCTCCAGTATCATCGACTTATAGTAATACTGTGGGATTCCATCGCCCCGTACTGGCCCCGCACGTCGCACAGAAACTCCAGACAACGTGGCGGCCACCGAACCTCCGGAATCACCGCGCGTAACTACAACGCACAGCACCAGCTGCCACACATCCACACAAGGAGGCCCAACTCCCAGAGATCGCAATCCCCACGAACAGACCTCTCCTAAAGCCCTGAACCATCGTAATAGAAACGGGTGGATCGGATGGCCCAAGATGCACCGCGCATGCCATCTGCCTTATGTTGCACGATATCTTCAACCTTCAGCCCGGGAGTAACCTGTCCCTTAGCCTCACTGACGAACCCGTCCCTTATTGCACCTATGCCCCTGAACCCTGCCATAGGAGATCTCAGTTCCGACCTGGGACTCCACCCCAAATTCCCAAAAATCCTTGGCACACCCCTTTTTGCACTTCCAGGCCCACATCCCACTCCGATCAGGAAGTCGCGCCGGGCGTGAGGTTAGGGCGTCACAGTGCAGCGAGGCCCATTATCCCACATAACTACGGGACAACTACACCGCTGGTTTGTCCACCAGCATTCTAGCTCCCCTCTTGAAAAACGAGGACCCATCAAGGGTCCTTGTGACGACCCAAGAAAATCTTGGGGTTGCAGGAAGGCACTCTAGAACAATCTAGAGCACTTCGGGAGCCCAGTGGTTTGTCCAATGGGATTCTAGCTCCACTCTTGAAAAATGAGGACCCATCAAGGGTCCTCGTGACAACCCAAGAAAATCGTGGGGTTGCAGGAAGGCACTCTAGAACAATCTAGAGTGCACTTCAGGAGCTTGTCTGACAACTCTTGAAAGGCACCTTGAAGAGTGACTTTCAAGAATTAGTGCAGGGACGCCAACTCTTGATGATTTCAAGAGTGTTTTCCGACAATTGTAGAACCTGATTCCTGGAGTAAGTGGAGCCATGCTGAACTCTTGAATTTCCACGAGTCTAGAGTAGTGGAGAGAGACCCTTACTCTCCAACTTGGGCTGCAGAGTTCCCAGCCAGCCAAATACAATATTCGGAGCTCTAGAACCTGTTTCCTGGAGTAAGTGGAGCCAGGTCGGACTCTTGAATTTCCATTAGTCTAGAGTAGTGGAGTGAGACCCTTACTTGCTGAAGAGTTCCCTGCCAGCCGAATCCAATATTCGGAGAGTAGTCGGAGAGGCCGATGAGCGCCAGTTTTGGAGAGTTGGCCTGAGTCTCGATGGACAAAGGGGGACCGAATGTTGTTTTGTGCTCCCCGAGGTGTCTTTTTATGCTCACCCTTCTACTAACCAATTTGGGGAGCTCTAAGATGGAGAGTTAGTGGAGCGATGACTGGTTTTCAACCTTCTTGGAGAATCTGGCAGCTCTTCAAATACTCTACAATTTTTCGGAGAGTGGATGTGACGATCTATCTTCTGATAGGAGCGATTCTCTACGCAATTGAACCTTGGGGTGGTCAGATGGGCCTAAGGGTCAATTGCATGAATTGACCCATTTTTTTTCTTCCTCTCTTTTGCAACAGTTTGGTCCCACGACTGTTGGTGGTCAGGACGCGCCTTAGCGAGTACAGGAATAAAGGTTGACGCAACTTTTCTTTTTTTTTGGGAAATTTGGGCAAGGAGCTTTGGTGTGATCATCGCGCGGGGGAATCTTTTTGAATTTTTGAACTCTTTGGAAAGATTGCGGGAGTCAGCGAGGGTATTCGGAATTAGGACTCTAATTAGACTAGGATTTTGGGGACGTCGTAATTGTTTTGTAACTGCACGAAGCTCCTTACTCGCGCGCGCTTTGTTGTGCTCTGTCCTGCACTCTATTCCCGCTGCGCCTTCATTTTAATCTCAATTGTAATTTCATCATGTTCCTTTATTGGCGAGTGCAGGTGTAACTGTAATCTTCTCCCTCTTGGCTTCTTTTCGCGCCAAAACATGCGGCCCCTTCCCCTTCGTCTCATTGGCATGACCGGTGCACGACTGAATCAATTCATGGAGAGTGGCTACATCCCTCGCGCTGCAGCCCAGGCATGCCGACTGTAGGCACCTCCTTCCTTTCCGTCTCCCCCTGCCTTAGCGTAATCCCGACTATCTCGCACAAATGCTAATTGCTATAAATTTTGCAAGCGCGACTAAATCACTCTCTAATCTAAACTTGGGGGAGTTAGCGAGGTCAAGAGGATCGACTAATGAGTGTGAGCATGCAAAGAGGTGAGTTCGGAGCTCGGCGATCCGGCAACCTGGTGGCGAGTGCGCGGGGTCGACGTGTGGCTGCGACGGACTGTGGAGCACGGGCGAACACGGTGTGCATACTCGGGCCAAGCGGGATGACAACTCTGGTTGTTGGTAGGTGCGAGGCAA